TGTGGGGACATTTGGTCCCCATAACGTGATAAATACCAGGTACACACACACACACACACACACACATACATATACTTCATATATAGGCACACCTCACATGCACGATTTTTCAAGCAGAAAACGTAATGGAACTTCAAGCGGAAATCAAATGGAACAATAAAAATCCTCAGAAATTATCACTTTGATTAGTTCAAGCATATTGCCCAATGCATACCTTCAACATGCTTTGTTTACGGAGTTTTGTACATGACAGTTTTGATTCATGATTGATTTGATTCATGTTTTTTAAAATCTAGTTCTGCACTTGTTATCAGTTGTTAGTCAGAACCTTTAGAAACTTAGCTTAAAGGGGTCATATGATGCTGCTAAAAAGAACATTATTTTAACTTAACTCTTACTGTATCTTTCTGTTGTTATCAAAGTCTGCTTTTTCTGGTTTGGACTACTGATGCAAACATGTAGATCCATGGCTGGATAAGTCCAACAGTCCCAGTGGATATATGTAGATAACGTGTTAATGCTTTACAGTTAAATAAACAGACATGACTATATATTTTTGCTCTTATTTCTGTATTTTTCAACATAAGACAGGTTTCTTGTGAAACAGTTTTGTTCTTATCAGTTCTTGAGTTCAGTACATCTGCTTTAGTGAACTGTGTGTTTAGCCACATCATGCTTGTTTGCAACATCACTATATACTGAATAATGTTCATCTGAAAGTGTTTTATTGTGTCTAAGGGGCAGTTTGGTAAATGTGAATGCTGATTAGGGGAGAAAATCAATGAACTCAGTGACTTGAGAGTGTCTTTTTAAGACCACAATTTTTACCCCATATAGGCTTAAATCTTTAGCCCACAGGAAACAGACACTTCCACAGCAAATCCTGACAGGAAGAACACCAGAAGAGCATGGATATCTGTTGGGACAAACAGCATAGTTGGATTAAGTCACATTTTAGCTCGTATCTTGTTTGGGAAAAAGCGTAAGCATCTTCCTTAAAGGTGCACTATAGGATAGTATAGACTCGTACAAAAATAATCCCTCTCAATCATTACATTATGATCCACTAGGAGTGTGTGGTAGTGTTTGTGTCTACAGAGACATTGTCCTTTGCTTGTATTTTCTTATTTGATTCTTCTATTGCTGTGCTCGTTTCTGGGCTGCAACCTTTGACCAGTGGGTGTGTGTCTGTGTCTGAAGCTCGGGAAGCTCCACTTGTAGTGTCTTAACACTAAAACAATTCGCTATATGTTGCTATTGCCTTGCTAACTTCTATCTGTAATTTAGCAGATTGCTAGGCATTGTAATTACTTTTTTATGATGACAATTATTGTTTGTAAGCGAGATAGACTGACGACAGCTCACTCGCAAAAGTACAGCCAGTCATCTAATTATTAGTGTAACTATTTATTAATATTCACAAAAAATACCATTTATGCATAATGAACGCAATATTTGAAAAAAATATTTGCAAAACACCTAATTTCTCATCTTCCTGCAATTAGTCCGCTTTTGACTTGCTGCAGGTTGGGCTATGTGTGTGTTCTGGCAACTGATATCATGTCAGGGGGTGTATACCTCTGATGGTGTTGAGCCTGTTCACGAGGAGGGACAAAGTATGAATATTGTTTACAAACAGTAAATGAAAATCCTGCATAGTGCCCCTTTAATCATCTAATTTATTTTCCTAAATATAGATTATTTGCTGCAACGTGAATGTTCTTTTGCATCTGTCTGACTCATGCTGCCGAAGTTATCAAACTTCTACAATTCTTTGTATAACATCAGCTGAGTTCAGTTTTCTGTCCACAGTAACATT